AGAAATAAAAAAATTTTAGAGTGAGAAAGAAATTTTTTAGAGATAAATACGAGAAATAAAAAAAAAGTTCAGTATTAGAAAAAAAAAGTCAAGTCCAGATTTTAAAAAACAGAAATCTGTCTTTGAAATTTTTTTTTTGAAAAAAAATTGATTATCAAACAACATTGTTTTTAAAAAACTAAAAACAAAAAGGTTATCAAACGGGTTCTAATAGTTTAAGAGTTCAATAGTGTTTTGGCGTGTTAATTTCAAAAATCCGGTTAGGATGTGTTTGGGAGAGTATCAATTTTTTTAGTACAAATAACATGTGGAGGGTGAAGATTTGAATTCATAACCTTTTAATTAATTGAAGATGTTTTTAATAACATAAAAGTCGGTAGGACAACAATAGTGAATTAGTATACGCAACCCTTTCGTTATATCAACCTCTCAAACACAAATACTAATACCTTCGTAGTAATTTGAATACATGTAAGCCAAAGAACCCTAAAATTTTAGTGGCCAAGAAAGGCTTTTGAGTTTTTTTTTTATTTATTTTTCTTTTTTCAATAAACACGTTAGTCAAATATAAGTAGGTTATTAAACTTGTAAAAAAGTAATTATATTTTTATAAATACATATTTATGTTAATTTTTTAGTTCCAAATTAAGTTTAGTAGCAGAGAAACATAAATGTTGAATTTGGTATTAATGGATCCTCGAACTTTCAATTTTATCTATAATAAAATAGAGTTGGTGTAAATTTTTTAAAATTACAAATTTAGATATAAAATTGATAGTTAACTGATATGTAAGATATTTTAGAGTTGAAAAATAGGAAAGTTGAAGCTTTATTGTTAACCCTTTTGTTTTTTATTTTCCACGAAAATTAAGCTTTAACGCTACTTTCCTATATTCATTTGTTTTTCTTTCTACTTTTTTTAAAATAGTAATGTTTTAAGAATTTCAGGTTAACATGAAGTGAGACCAAGGAAGCGATGTAGATGGGGACGTCTGGCTAGACCAACTAACCATACCAGGTTTGATCCGATCGAATTGGACCATCCAGCTAGACCATACCAAGTTGAACCACCACATTAGACCAGGACCACTTGGCCAAACCAGACCACCTGATCAACCAGGTGCGACCACCCAACTAGAGCAAGCTGGCCACCCGACCAAGTTCACAAAACTTGATCGAGCTAGTCTAAGGAGACTCCCTTTATAAAAAAGAGGAGAAGCATAGGGCTCGAGGTACATTTTACAAACCTAAGTTTTGCTACTCTTAGTTCAACTCTTTGTTTGACTTAGACATCAGAGTGCGTAGGGCTTAACATCACATCGATACGCAAATCTATCGTATGTGCATGTGTTCGTCGTTGCATCGAAGATGGAGCTCGGATCCAGATCCTACATCAACAAATTTGATTTTTTTTTTTTTGATATTTACCTAAAATTAAAATGTATTTTAAAGAAAGGTAAAGTCATTAAAAAAAAATATATAACGCAAACAAGATAATTTTAGAAAATAGAAAACTAAAAACGAAATAATTAAGATCCGGTTTGATAACTATCTTGCTTTTAATTTTCTCTTTTTGAAAATTAAGCTTACACACTGGTTCCATCTATCTATTCTTTTCTTTTGTTATCAATTCTTTAAAACGTTTTTAAAATCTTAACAAAATTTTGGAAAAAAAGAAACTGAAAAACTAATTTTTTATTTTTAAAATTTGATTAGAATTCAAATGTGTTCCGAATAGATATATATATAAAATCTACCAAATAAATAATCGTGAAGAAACCAGCATAATTTTTAGAAACTGAAAACTAAGGCTTCTTCAAGATTTTGAGTGATTTAAATCTGGACAAATTTTAAATGGAAAACTAATTCCATTGATTGTTACTTTAAGATTTTGAATATTTGAAATCTATTTTTCAAAATAAGTTACTTATTTAACATTTTAATTATTTTAATTTCTAATGAGTAAATTTATATTAAAACTTAAATCAGTAATTTTTTTTCTTTTTCTTTCCAAACATCGAAATTTAAATATATTCATTTCAAAATAATCTTGTTTCAAATAAGATAAAAAATTTTACTWTAAGATTGTTACGACGGTGCTTTCTAACTGTCGAGAATTTTGAATGTGGTGATCTCGGATTTCCAATTTGCATTTATCCCAGGGCGCTCTATTTGTGATAACATTATCCAGAGCCATGAGTGTCTTCATAGTTTTACGGACATCAAACATGGTAGAGAAAGTTTTGCAGCTTTGAAAGTTAATATCAGTAAAACGTATGATCGAGTGGGGTAGATTTTTCTTGAAAAGATTATGCTTTGTCTCGGTTTTGCTAAAGCATGAGTTGCCAAAATTATGCATTGTATCTCGCCGGTGTCCTTTTCGATCCAATTGAATGGCGAGTCTATTGCTAGCATCATTCCGGAGAGGGGTCTTCACCAAGGGGATTCTATATCGCCTTATATTTTCCTTATTTGTGTCAAGGTCTTTCTATGTTGTTGACGACTAGCAATGAGAGCATTTTAGGTTACTAGTGCATTACCACATGCCATGCACGTGTAATAAAAAATGATTTTAAAAAAAATTATTTAACTAAATTAGCATGTACTTTAAATTTATAGAAACGTTATAGTTACGTTGAATATATTTTATTATTTATAATTAATAGAAATGAAATCACGAAATTATGGTGGGAGAGAACTAAAAAGTTATAAACCTTTTAACCTTAAAAAATGTTCGTATTCTACAATTAAATATTATTATATATAAATATTTAATTATACAATTAATTTATGTAATTGAATACAAAACTAATTTTTACATTCTAACTTTTCACGTTACATTCAATCTCTTAGGTGCATATACGTTACATTGCATTATCTCATACAACATTTTTAATCACATTCTTTTTAATTATATATAAGTAATCTTATATTTTAATTTTAAAAAATACATTTTGCCTAATTTAGGCCTTTTTTTATATATATTTCCAACAGCACTAAATAAAATTTATTTTACTAATTATATTTATAATTATAATAATTATTTGAAAATTCTATAAGTTCCTACTAATGAAATGAAAAAACTTGTTTTTATTCTAATTTTTTAGATTACTTACCTAATATTATTGGCAATTTATTAATTTACTATTTATAATTAATTAAAAATTTTGTGAGAAACATATACTAATTATAGAAAAAAACAATATCAACAATTAGACTAAGACCCTAGCTATAGACTCGTGCTACAAAGTGAAATTGTAATGTCACTAACCTATGATTTGAGATATAGATCCAATATCTAATCATGCAATTTGAATATGCCACCAACATCTTGAGACGTATTTGAAAATTGGAGAGTTCTCATATAGCAGGCCTAGGATTCGAGATATAGATCCAACATCGGTTTCCTTTGAAACTTGAATATATCGCAACATCTTGAGTCATATTTGAAGATTGAAGAGCGTTTTGAGAACAATGAATTCAAAATGCTAAAAAGAACAATGAATGGATCTCTAAGTGTTTGTGAACAAAATTGTAGAAGAAATCTTATATTTATAGAGTAATAGATGGTTAAAGTTACAAAACATTAGAAATTCCATCATAAATTATAATTAAATGAATTTTTTAAAGTTGTATAAAAGACCTTTTGCATTCCAACATTTTATATTCAATATATGTAGTATTATTGATAATTAATTATTAACTAATTAAAATGTGTAGAGAAGACTTTTAGCATTGAAACCTTTTATATTCCATCTAGTAATTATTAACTAATTAATTTACTAAATTTAAAGAAAGGGATAAAATAATTAATTTATTTTTTAAAATTAATTAGTAGTGGCATGTCTAGTAATTTAGAAATTGAGAGAGGGTCTTATTAGTCCAAAAATGTTTTTTTTTTTTAAGATTGTCCATTTTTAATATTGTATAGATATAGATATGTCGATAGCAGATAAGTGTCCTATCATTTTTCATCTTTTCTTTCCCGATGATAGCCTTATCTTCATAAAGGCAGATTCGGTGGAATGTTGGTCCTTAAAAAGGTTCTAGCATGGTATGAGAAAGCTTCGACCCAATGTGTTAACTTCGAGAAATCTGTTGTCTGTTTCACTCCGAACATCTGAACAACAATATCTCCAATCTATCTTGGATTCCCGGCTTGTTGATAGCCTGAGGACCTACTTGGGACTCTAGTAAGTTTTTACAGGAATGAAATCTAAGGATTGGTGTTTTCTAAAGGATAAGGTTTGTAAAATTATGCAAGGGTGGAATAGGCACTTTTTCTCTGTGGCGGGAAAAGAAATTCTCATCAAAAGCGTGAGTCAAACTATTCCTACCTTTTCGACAAGTGTAGATTACTAAAAACTATTTCTAGTAAGGCTCGATATTCGCCAAATACTGAGTTTCTAGATGTAGAGCTTGGTAGAAAGCCGTCATACTTCTAGAAGAGTTTCCTTTGGGGTAGAGATCGTGTGTTGGGTACGATAAGTCAATTTACAATTTTAAAGATAGATAATTGCCTAGAGAAACTATCTTTAAACCTATTACCCCTCCCTCATTGAATAAAGACTTTAGAGTGTCGGATCTTCTTGGTGCTTCTGGGGATTGGGATGAGCAAAAATCACATATGCATTAGTAGTCCAAAGATATTGATTTAATCAAGCAAATCCCTCGATACAATTCATCGAGAGAGGATAGTTGGCTATGACATTTTGACAAGAGAGGAATCTACGGCATTAAAAGTGGGTATAAATTATATATGAATTCAAAGATTGCATATTCTTGTTCTAATGCTCAAGATGGTCAGTGTGTGGAAGACCCTTTGGAAGTTAAAATGTTTCTCCAAAGGTTAAACATTTTATGTGGAAAACTCAAGATGGTCAGATTGCAGGGGCTTTCCTCTCTGGTAACCCAGTGTGGTGTTTATGTTTAATTGAAGTTCTTCTTTCTCAAAATAATAAAAATAATAATTTCTTTAATTTCTGACACCAAATAAAGGGTTAATTTATTTTTTCCTTTTTCCTTAAATTTATTAATGCTAAAAACAAAGGAGGAACGGGAGGGAATTTCCAGAACCCAAACACTGAGAGGTCAATGCTCAAACAAGCTGATTGAAGAAACAAAAGGGGCGAATCGAAAGCGATCCAAAAATTCATATCCAAATTCCAGAGCAATACGGCTAAGGGCGGCGAGATCCAAGAATGGGGTTCTTCGCCCTGGCCGTTGCCGGCGGGGGCTTCTGTCTGATCGGCGCGTGGGAGGCACTCTCTTCCCTGAATCCCAACTCCGATTCCAATTCTAATCCAAACCCATCTCCCCCATCTCAATTTCCGCCGCCAACCGCCACAATCGCCACATCTTCATCGTCTCTCTCCTTCCTCTTCGTCTTCGTTCTCTCACTTCTCGTCATCTTAAACTCCCTCGTTTCGTTCTTCGATGCGCTTGATTCGAGCGACCGAGTCGGCTCCGCCCTCCAGTTACCAGTTCTGGCGATTGCTTCTCTTTTCTTCCTATATTCGATTATCGGTGTTTTGGTTAATCTTAAGGGTTCATTTCATCTTCCATCGCCGATCCTTAGTTTGATCGCCTTATTCGCTTTTGTAGAAGAGTTTTTGTTGTTCTACCTGCAGAGGAAAGACACCAGTGGGATCGAGAATCGGTACTTCGATCTCTTGCTCGTCCCCATTGCGGTTTGTGTTTTCTCCACAATCTTCGAATTGAAATCCCCAAATTTGAATTCCCCCAAAATTCTTCGTGGGGTTGGGTTGATTCTGCAGGGAATATGGTTCTTACAAATGGGTGTGTCTTTCTTCACCTATTTGATTACAGATGGGTGCTCTTTGCACGAAAAAAGCAGAGGAAATTACACTATAAAATGCAAGGGGCACCCTGAATATCACAGAGCCAGAGCAATTGCTACTCTTCAGTTCAATTGCCATCTTGCCCTTATTCTGGTCTTGGTGGTTGGTGTATATTCAATCATCATGTACAGAAATGGAGGCGCTAGTGATTTTACAAATTACCGGCCGATAGGGGCAGAGATGCAGTCATTCGGGTTTCAGGGTCAGTTCACTTTGGATTCTGATGATGATCTCGGGGAAGAAAGCAATTCAGGGAGGACGAAGCAAGCGGTGGTCGATGTCGGTGTGAATGGTCTTGATGCTCATCAATGAGGTAAATTCCATGGAAATCTCATTTGAGGAATGTAAATTTTGGTTCATAATTGTTTGCTTATGGTTAGTTTAGACTGCAGATGTTGTGGTTAACTTGTATCAAATGGTTGAGATATCCTCTCAGTGGTGATTTGGGTTCTTTCTTTTTCATTTTGACTGAGAAATAGAAAGTAGTTTTGCTGATGTTGTTGAGCTTTGTCTGGTGTAATAGTGTTCATATCTTCAATTATAAATGCATACTGAAAGTGGGGCCTTGTGTTAATTTTTTTGTTCTTTCAATGTTTTAAAAGGTTTTTCACGTTCACGCCTTTAGCTCGCCTCAGGAAGAAACTTAAACTTTTAGCCTCAAAGTTCATACATTCTTTAGATGCTTATGCCTCTTATAGATGAAGCTTGTACCCAAACCTAATATTGAAGTTCATGTATGTAGCCCGAGGTATAGTGTCGGTCGTCAGGGCAGTCTGTCTTTTATTTAGTTGAGTAGTTGCGGATAGCTTGGAACTTGGAGATATAGGTGTAGTGCAAGACATTCTCTATGAGATAAGAATTCCATTTCATTGTTTGGATAGGCGAAGTTCAGAGGTAGAGTGAGATACCTCCATTTAGAGAAAGTAATACATTTGATAAAAAGACAAATTGGTTGTCAAGCACCTTGATGAAATCAAATAAAAGAGAAGAATCATCCGTTCATTCCTGGTGTGAAATGTTGTCATCAACGTATAAAAGAAGCTATGATTCAACCTTTTACTACTTTACCTGTAAGGACTGAAAAAATATTGAAGATAAAAATTTAACTGACTTTTTAGAATCATTATTTAAAGGTGACCGTTGATAGATGTGATTATTTTTATAACCATACAAGCTTAGCAATACCATTTTTTATTAGGATTTTTGGTGCCTCATATCATCTTGAAGCTTACGTCTTGCTTCAGGTTGCCTTCCTTGTAAAGCATTGGTTCTGATCGATCCTAGACTTGGCTCGTTCAGATAATCTGTGTTTCTTTTTAGTTCTTGGAAAAAGTATACTATAGGATTGTTCTGTTTACAAAATGTGGGACTACGTTCGATCCTAGACTTGGCTCATTTTGATAATCTGTGTGTTTCTTTTTAGTTCCTGGAAAAAGCAGACTATAGGATTATTCTGCCTACAAAATGTGGGACTAGGAAATGACTTGATAGAAATTAGACTCCTCCAATATCATTGGAATGGGAATGATAAAGATCAATAGCATGGATGAGGAAGGATATGGGATTGTTGTGTAACTTCAGTTTTTCAACTTTTGAATTTTTAGGAGGTTTTCTCCAGTTTTCCGTTCTTGGAATCTAAGTTTTGGTGTGTTTGAATAGAGTAGGTCGTGTTGTATGTTAACGTTGGAGTAGAGATGTTGTTGGAAAAGATAAGAGCAGCTTAATCTTGAAGATTACTCATTGCATCATCAAAGCATGGGGAGAAACAAGATGGTTAAGTATTTTCTGTGAGAGCAATGCAATGGACGATTTCAGTTCGGGTTTGATAGCTTCATGTTGGTGATTCAAGAAATCAGAAAACCTACTCAATATTTGATGTTGGTTTGCTCTGTATATTAGAAATCATCAATTTCAACAAAAATCTCTGTAGCGTCATGCTTTTATGGCGTTTGATCATTTTTTCTAGTTCAACCATTCGGAGATCGAACAATTGACATCTAGTAGGTGTCTTTAACTATTAACTTATGCTTGGATTGGCGGGTGCCAAATCAATTTTATATACTAGACTGCTAGAGTATACCTGTTTTTTTTTCTTTGTTTTTTTTTGAATGATTCTTGAACCTCTAGAGTAAAAATAGACTCATCTGATCAAATTAAGGAATATAAATTAGGACAAAATTTATAATTTATAATTTAAAAATATTCTGAGATGAGTCTGTATTGATCTAAATTCTAAATTCTTTAGGGTCTGTTTTGTTAACATCCCTTTTTCTGTGTTCAAAATGGTGAAGTATTTACAAATCCCATCAAACCCACAAAGCTTGATTCAAATTCAACACTATGTTTCTTCTTCATTGATCCTATTTTTTCTGCAACATTTACACCAAATCACATACAATACAAAGCTCAACCCACTGCATAATGCCAACAGCCAATAATACTTGTCCAACCTAGCCTCACTCATGTCGTCGGAAAACCAGCTCGGCTTCCCCCCCGAGCTTGTCAACATCTCCACGATCGATATCATTATTGCGCTGCAAAAGCTCCCAACGCCAAACACGCTGTTGTATAGTGCAAACCCCATTGTTCTCATGCTCACCGGAACCTCCGAGTAGAAGAACTCTTGCATCCCCACCACTGTGAAGATGTCTGAAACTCCTAATATTACATATTGAGGTAGGAGCCAGAAGATACTGAGGGGCACAGATGATGAAGACGATGACGTTTTCGTCGCCAACGTCAACCTCTTGGCTTCAACGAGGGCGGCAAGGATCATGGCGATGGTAGAGAGAAACATCCCAATGCCCATCCTTTGCATGACGGTGATACCCTTTTCGGTGCGGGTGAAGAGGCGGGTGATCGGGATCAAAACGGTGTCATATAATGGCATGAGGAGGATTATTGAGACGGTGATAGCGCTCTGGAGGGTGGCGGGCGGGATCATGAAGTGGGGGCCGATGTTCCGCTCCATTGTCATGCCTTGCTTGGTGAAGAAGGTTGCCGGTTGTTGGAATATTACAGCGAACATTAGAAGCATTGTCCAAATTGGTAACAGTCCCAAGACTAGTTTCACCTTGTCGGGGACACACAATCTTTCTTCTGGAATAATAATGTGGGTGTCTTCCATGGCTCCTGAGCTTTCTTTGCAGAGTGGCTTGCTCTCTTGCAGCCTGCAAAATAATCAGCCCCGCAAAATCCATATATAAATATGACGCTCCTACTATGAATAATTTTGAATCTTATAGATTTTTGTCGTTAAAATTGTTGCTTAAATATTGACCTGAAATACTAATTGGACTAACAATGACATGACACGAGATCAAAGATAAGTTAGCTAAAAAAACTCGAAAAAAAGGTGAGCATATGAAACTCCATTTTTTGCCTATTTCCCTTTCGTTTTATTCTAACTCATTAGTTTAGTGAGTATTTCATGTTAACATTTAAAAAATTGGACTAACGATACTATTTTAATTTTAAAATTAAAATGGAAAGTTAGGTAAGTAAAAATTTAAAAAAATTTAACACTAGACATAACTATCAAAAGTACTAATTTGAAAGAGAGGGTGAGTGTCATCATCTTACTCTAACTCAACATCATCGGACTTGTTGTTGGACAAGGTAACATTTCTGCCACACATGAGCCTCGAAACTGTTGCTTTTACAATCTTCATCGCCTTCTCGAACCGTCTCTTCTCGACTCCATCTTCCTTATCGTCTACGTTATAGCGATAAATTCTAGTGCCACAAGCGAACAGAGCAACAGAGGAAACCATGGCGAACATCGGGATGGCAAAGCCGAGGACCCATCCGAAGGTGTCTTGAATGTAAGACATGATGGTGACACCAAGGAGGCTTCCGCTGCAAACGCCAAAGTACCACCATTGAAAGAATGCACTTTTCTTGTTCGGTTTTTCATTGGAGGACGTAGGGAGCTTTTGAACATCGTCGTGGTCGAGCTGATCGGCTCCGAAGGCTTGGAGAGAGGGATTGTACCCGCCTTGGCCGAGGGAGATGAGGTAGAGGGACCAGAAGAGGAAGGAGGAAGCCATGTTTGTTGGTGACCATGATCTTGCCAATGCTGTTGATGTCAAAGCAACTAGACCCTGCACAAAATTTTAATCAATATAACATATTAGACCTAAAACAATATATAATATTAAATTTTGGAAAGTTAATTCTATATTTTTCTCCGGTGAAAGTTTTTAATTTCGCTACTTATATCCAATATTAAAGTACAGTGTAATAAAATTAAAATTGGCTCACTCAATTAAATTTGGGATGATTTATTGATTCCCTATTATTCTAAAAAAGAATTAGAATAATTCTTAAAGCTACATAATCTACTTTATTCCCAAATATTTCCATATATTTATTTGAGCAAGCATAGCAAATTCCCCTCATCAATATTATTAACTTATGGCTAAAATTCTTTCTAAAAAAAGGGAAAAAAAACTTATGGCTAAAATTAAAGGCAGGAAAAAGAAAAAAGGAAAAAAAAAGTCTTAAAGCAAAAGTTGATAACCAAAGTGGATTAACCTGAAATGTTTAATTTAGAAAATAAATTTAACGATATTTTAATGGTATAATTTACATGTTTTAGAAACATTTTGAAAACCAAATCAAGGAAAATAGCTTTTAAAATTTTATTTACGTTTATTGAACTTGGACAAAAACTTGAAAATGCCTTAATAGATTAAACTGGATTTTATTTTAATTAAATTATGGTTGTATTGTAATATTTAAAAATAAAAATTAAAAAAGAATCAACTCTTTTAAATTAGTCTTGGTATTCTTTTTCCCTAAAAAAACGACCTTTTCTTTTAGATTTGGTGAGAACTTTAAAGGGAATTTTTAAGAAAGTGAAGATTTTAATTAACCTTAAGTTCTAGAAATTATTAAAAAAAGAGTAAAGTAAAATCTTTATCATGTCGTTCACAAATTTGTTTCTAAGTTGTTTTTAAGTATCCGTTTTTGTCACTATAATTTTTATTTTGATCCCTACTAGTAAAATTTCAACATAAATTTTAAGCATAATAGAAACTATTTAATACAAATTTATAGCAACAATTCAAGAATTCAAGAAATTTAGTGGGTAAACGGTCAGATAATATAAAAATAAAAATGACGTAAAATAATCAATTTTTAAAATTACAAGAACCAAAATAAAAGTATAAAAACTAAAATAAACAAAAGTTAAAGGATGAAAATGAACGTTTTAAAAACATCATAGGTAGCTCATTTGGTCCAATAGGATTAACTGAGAGTTCAAATCYCATAACGACCACCTATCTTAGAAATTAGTAATTCTGATATGTTTCTCGTCACTAAATGTTATAGTCTCAACAACCAAAATAAACTAAAGTCAAAAGTCCCGTGCCTAAAATAGTTTATTTAAACTATAAAATGTTACCCAACTATCCTGATATTAATTTTGAGAAATCATAAAGGGGATAGAACCATTTGCGGTTAGAAATATATATACTAATTTTGAGAAATCATCCGAAGGGTGAATATATATGTACATGTGGGGATGAGGATTCAACTTACAACGACACGTTTTAGTTGGAGATAAATACTAGTTAATTAAACTATATATAGATTTAATATATGACAGAAAATTTGAAAACTATTGGTTGGAGATAGGTAGTTTACCAAGTTGTTTAGATTGAATATTTAACCGAAAATTTGAAAACTATCATCAATTTGACAATATATTCAATAATTAAGAGGTAATTAAGACCATCAAATTAAATAAGGGGATGCATTAATTTTCTCTAAAGACATACTAGGCACTGGGGAGCCCTTCATTAATTTTCCCACAAGTTTTCAAATCTTATATTAATTTGAAGCTAAAGTCCACATATAATTTAGATTATCAAAAAGCACCCTCTGCCTACATATTGATGAATAAGAACTCTTTATTTTAGATGTAAAATAATTTTAGTTAAATTACAAGTTTAGTTTAAATTTTTGTCTAATAAATTCCTAATTTTTCTTAAAAAAATATCAAATATTTGTAAACTTTAAGGTTCCTAAAATTTCAAAACTTTTAATAAAGTTAGTTTTGTGTTAGATGCGTCACTTTTAAAGTGCCTAATAATTTTGAAAATTGATAATTTCTAAAATGTGCAACGTAATCTCTATTTTTAACGAAACAATACTCAAATATTTATCGTTAAACATGAAGATCTCCAATAAAAATTTGACGATTTCTTTTTTTTTTTTAAATAATCTCTTTTCTATATTCTTTTTCTCCTGCCTACCAAAATTGGAAAATAGTATTCAGTAAAATACTAAATATTTTTCTCTTTAGTAGTTAAAATTTTGAGTAGAATCTACTAAACTAATCAATTAAATTTAATAGATATAGATTAAAAAAACACGATATAAAAAAGTCAAAACTGGAACCTATTTATTTGTCTGTTTCAAAGTCAAGACAAGACACTATATCTATGACCCTTCTTTTGGACTCTGTGTTTTCCTTTTTATAGTTTCCATGCAGAGAAAGAAAAAACAAAGTTAACAATCATATGCCACCTGACTCATTCTCCATTCCTATCAATGACTAATGACTCATCCTCCAAAAACAAGAAGGGAAAAAAAGAAAAAAAACATATCTATAAAGAAAACAATCTATTAAAATTTAGTAGTGGCGTATTAGAGGGAGTATGATACTTGTATAGTACTTGATTTTTTCGTTTACTATACGAAAAATATTTAAGTCCTTGCTAAAATATGGTACATTCATGGATCCATCTTCTTACTTCTTCCCATATTAGAGTAATAAAGTTCGAAGTACTACACCACTATTTTATCTATAATATAAAATCTTTTATAATAAGATAACATTTTTAATAGGCAGAGCCTTAGAGGTGGGTATGTGTAATTAGAATTTTTTTAAAGCAAAAACCACACAAGTGAATTTCCGAAATCATTCTCTATTTTAGATGATCCTAGAATTCTACTAGTGCAATATGGTAAAAATGGTCCTCATACTTTTAGAACCTGTAAAACATGCAATACCGATAAGAATCTAAATATTTTCGTGGGTATATCATCAATGGATCAGACTCTAAAGATTTTTGTGACTATATTATCAGGAGAGAGAAGAGAGAGAGAATAAAAGATTAATTATATTAATTACCAGAACGTAGAGAGACGCAGAAGCCAAAATGGTGGAATAACGATCCCAATAAGAATCGGCGAGCGGCGCCACTAGCAGCGGCAGCATGGAGGTGAACCCACACCAACTATTCACCGTCTTCGCCGCCGACGAGTTCCTCATCTTCATCACGTCCGTCAAATACGTCACCAAATTCGACGCCACCCCTTTGAACACAAACCTCTCCATCCCCGACACCACTGCCAAAAATCGAGAACCAATGCCACACAACTTTAAATTTAATCTTTTATTCATATTCTAACGCTTGGAGTCAAAATATTTAATATATATATATAGTAAAGATTGACAGATTGAGCGCTCCTCTGGAAGAGAAGAGAAAGATACCTATGAGAAGAACGCAGGATCTTCTCAGCCGCTGCCCTSCTGCTCCGGTCATGGCAGAAACAGAAGCTTTAGAGAGAGAAGGGGGAGAGGAGAGAGAGAGAGAGAAGTATGTTTCTGTGTTGTGTGTTGTCGAACACTGATTCAGTCCAACGTATATATCCACAAACGAAACAGTGACATAATCTTTTTGTTTTGTTTTTTTGTATGGTGAGATATTAGTTAATTTATATGATGATCAAGAGATAAATAGATAGAACTATATTAAAGAATCCCACTGGATCATCTCTCATGAATAATATTCTAACCCACGTCACTCGTCGGGGTTTCATTTTTGTAACGTTGATTACTAGGATTCACCACAGCATGCCACATCATCTGCCACGTGGACTTCTTTAACGTGGGTTGTTGTCACTTCCTTTTGCCGCCATCATATCGTAAAATAAAAATGTGCACTTCCCGAAGCTGCCTCGGCTTTGCAAGCACGAGTTGTGGTAAAATATGTGGTGAGAAATAGAGCCAAATCAAGAAAGAAAATTGAGAAGGGACACTGCAGTCGTTTTTCTGTTCCTATATTTTCCTTATATCTTTCTTGTCCTCTTTAATTTTGCTTTGGACATTTTTATTTTCCTTTTGCTCAGAAGTTTTAGGTTCATCTATCTATTATATTGTAATTTGTTGCAAGTTAAGTACGAGATTAGCTAACAAATATTATATTGTCAGTATTAATTAATTGGAATCCAAATCTGATTTTGATTAGCCAGCTAATTAAGATTCTAGATTTTAATTTTGTGATTGAGATAATTACTGGTGTTGATTGTTTTTATTCCCTATCAAACCTCATATCATTTTAAAATGACGGTGAAGTCCAATATGATAAAAAGTTGGACTATTCCTTTATTCAAAGCCAGACAATTAAGCCCTAAAGTAAGGAAAGGGAAAGAAAGGAACTTTGCCCGACCTATTCTCCAACCTCGCTTGAAGCTCAAAAAGACAATAATACAGTACTACTTTACTAAGATGATAGTTAGATAATCTGACTTTACCGATATCACTGATCCACGGTAGTTTATTGTCTAGATATGAGTACAGAATCTTTATATACTATAAGAATAGTCTCTAATTTTATACTCCTATTTGTCCCATACAGCATGCCCCCACCCCATTTTAGAAACTACTACATATTAAAGAGATAATATTTTCTACATATTACAGAGAAAATTAGTATTTGTACGTCCCTACGTATTATAGAGAAACAGATATTGTAACGTAGAAAAAAGTTGGATTGAACCGATTTTAACACCCACGAAAGAAGAGGTAGGTTTTGAACGAAAACGGAAAATGAATGTGAGTAATATCTATGTTTAATTCACAACGGTTCACAGGCTTCTTATCCAACACCCATCCTAAAAATGAAGGTACGTTTTGGCTGAAAATAAATGTGAGTAATATCTATGCTAATTCATACCGGGTTATAGACTTCTATCCAACGCCCATCCTAAAAAGGAGGTATTTTTGTTACTAAAAATGAATGTGAGTACGCAGTATTTATGCCATTTCATAATGGGTCTGGTCCGTTGGGTAACATTTCTGTTTCTCGTTTCCTATTTCTGTTTTTTTTTTCAAATAAAGAAAAATTCATGACTTCAACACCTATGAATTCAACTACGATCAATTAATATTTATATTTATGTTTTGTAACTACGAGAAACAGGAACAAGATGAACAAAAAACTCGTATGGATTATTTCCAAAATTTCTATACAATTTTGAGAATGTTTTCGAAACAAGAAACATAATTAGTTACAAAAATATTTAGATTTTTTAATAAAATTGGTAACGAAACGAAAAAACGTTACGAAACGAGTCTTACATTACCCATCCAAAAAGAGAGATCATGAGTGGGATTCTGATCATGCAGATAAAGAAAAAATGAGTAAGTTCCAAAAAGGGAGAGAGAGGAGAGTATTGTTCCTTTTGGAGGAAGCAGGAGGTGGGCAATGGAGGGCGAATGGATTGCACACGAGAAACTCACGCAGACACACAGAAGACACATGAAGGAACAGAAGGCTTTTTTAATACACAAAAACAAAAAAGAAGATTAATGGGTTGGCATAGAGAGATTACAGAGAGAGAGAGAGGTGGTTTAGTGAGATGGAACTCACTTTGATTTGGGATATGGGTTCACCTCTAATGGAAGATCTTTTAGGGGAAAAAAGAAAGAAAGCAAAACAAAGATAGATAGGATAACTGTTTGTTGTTGATAGAGTTTTCTTAACTAGTAAAATTTTTGTTCTTTCTCGTAATAATGCTTTTGTTTCGGTCGAAATCTGATTGCTTAAATGATTCAAATATTCGATGTTGGAGTGAGAATCAACTCAGAGACTTACAAAATAAGGGTGAACACTTTAGAACTCATGACCAGTCTCAGGTTCGAAGAATTTAGGTTTAATTGCAACCAGACTAGCGCGTATCTCATAATAATGTTACCTCTAGTATTTACAGGTGAAAATATCTAGTGCAAAATTACAGTCAGTGACATTGTTAAGCGATTATTGGTCAACCTATCTTCAATTTGACCATATGAGCTTGACCACATAGGTAGTACTTCGGAACCCACTCCAATCTTCAACTTCGACCTTAATAAATTATATCTAGTTGTATCGTATGGCTGACACGTGTAATGTTGAAATTCATCCTTCATGAGTGCCTATAACATTTGTGACCTTTTTTTTTTGCAGTCATTAGAATCTTAGTGACAGTTAAAAACGGTCATAATTTTTTAAAAATAGGTAAATATCCATTTTTTCGCAAAAACGCGCTCAATGTGTGACGGCGTTTTTTTTATTACTTAAATTACACGTCATAAAATTAAATCTCAAATTTGTAGTAGTGTCCCAATATTATTTCCACATGTTATTGAGTTTGTAAAGGGAATATAAACAAAGTTTTACATTGGCTACGAAAGAGCATGATTCATGGTATATAGACGAGGACAATTATCTTCATTGGTACGAAGCCTTTTGGGTGAAACCAAAAACAAAGTCGTGAGAGTTATGCCCAAAGCGGACAATATCATACCATCGTGAAGCTACTTGGGGTACTAGGGTACTATTGTCCTCAACAAGTGGTATCAGAGCCATGGTCTAAACCTAGCTGTGTTGGCGAATCCTTGAATGCCAAACAAAGAAGTGGTGAGTTTCAGAACATATAGTCATGGTGGAGTTCCATGTTCGAGAGTAGACGGAAGAATTGTTCAGTTTGTAAAGGGAATGCAAAGTCCCAGAAGAGTATGATTTATGATATATAGATGAAGATAATTATCTCCATTGATACGAGACTTTTAACAATATCATACTATTTAGGATACGAGAGGTACAGTTGTACTTAACCTTTCACTTTTAAGTTTTGATTCATTTCTTAAAAATACAAGTTGTTTAACATGGTGAGGTTGGTGTATTTCGATATTTTGGAAATGGAAGTTTTTATAGATTAAAATACATATTTTAAAAATTTAGGCAAGAAAAGAAATTTAAACCTGAAGTACGATTGAGCCAAAAAAGGAAAAGTGCCTTGATTATTAATGGAAAATTAAGCTGAATTTATAAAACCATTCCAAAATTGCCATATATAGTTGAGGTTGATTTTTTCCCAGAAAACAAATTTTTTATCATTAAAGTGAAAATAAATATTATACATAGTCATATCATATATATAATCCAAGGTCGTTATAATTTTACCTTTATAATTAGAAGAATTTTTTTTAGTACAACATATGGGGTGAGGGATCAAACTCGATTGGAGATATATGCCAATTACCGCTGAGTTATGCTCGCTTTGACTATAATTAGAAGAATTTCTTTGTATATATAACACTTCAAATTTTCATATTTTTAACGTTAAAATCTCTGGATGGACGTTGATATTTTTAAAATTTTGTAATTAATTAGTGCTTTAAGTTAGCTATTAGTATAATTAAATTAAAATAATTAATATTTTTTTTTAGAAACAGAATCTCTGGAGGTATCCACACGGTCCTCAAAACTCTTCAAGGATATTTTTTGAGATCCCAAGTCACCCAAGCTATCCTCGAGGACTGCTTTGGATAATTTTTTTTATACCTTATGTTTTATAAGGTTTCTATTTCATCTTTTTTTAATGAAGAAAAATAGAATTGGAGGACCCCAACACCTATGAATTCAATAATAACAAAAAAATATCTTTATTTATATATGTGCGAACAAATTGAAAACACAATGAGAAACTTGATTTTATTGTTTTTAAAATTTTTATACAATTTTGAGAATGTTTCTAAAAAAGTGAAAAACTAGTCAAATTTCTTAATAAAATTGAAAACCAGAAATAATAAATGAGAGCACAAACCCTAAAACCAACCCTTGATATTTATTTATACCTTCATCGAGTTTTGATAATTAATATTGGTTGGTTTGCTGTTATATGATTTTAAAAGCAAAAATATCTCTTCAATTTGATATTTTAAGTTGACTTTAATTAGTTAAATTATTAAGAGAATTAATTAATATAAGTTAATTTTCCATTCTTTCTAAATCAATCTTTTTCATTTAAACGAGTTTTGGGTAAAATTAAGTAAAGCCAACCAACTTATGCCTCTAATGGAACCCAGGGCTTAAAAAGAACTACATTATAATTTTCACTTCTAAACTATAATTATTTATACACACAAAATTTTATAAATTTAAATATACAGCTCACAAGTTTTTTTACTATTTCAAGATCACCCCTATATGTAGTAATTTTTTTAATCATAGAACTTCATAGGTCAAGAGCAAAATTGATAACTAATAAAATTTACCATATAAAGCAAGTAAAAGAAATCATTATTCTTAAGGCATAACTACTTAATGAGAATAGAAAAAAAAAGAGTAAATTTAAACATCGTGTTTACTAGCTACATTTTTGGCATTGAAAAAAAAAAAGAATCAACTACAGTTCACTAGAGAGAGAAAGAACTTTAAGAAAAGAAAAGTAAACCTACAAATTTAAGAGTATTGTCCGTTTTGGACATAGTTCTCACGATTTTGCTTTTGGTGAACCAAAAGATTTCATACTGGAGATAATTATCCTTTCTTATATACTCATCATTACCTCATTCTCTAGTCTATGA